GGAGGTTTTGCAACCCTTCCCTGCGCTTGGGGCTTCCTTACCAACACTGCTTAACCTGTACTGCATCCTGAATCTGTGCCGGCCACTGTTCTAACAGATTTGCATTAACGCTATGTTGTCTAAACCTCATACTTGCTCTATGAAGTAGCTCCAGTATTGTCCCTATCATACACTGATGACGTCACCCAGCAGTGATAGGGATTCGAAACCTAGTCAGTCAGACACCCGAACCAGAACACTTGGCTCCTTCAAGCCGGAATGCTGCTGGCTTCACCCACCCCACTACTAAACTCCTATTCATCTTTCAAGATCCTGTTCAAATATCTCCTCAGGGACACTGTCCTTAATACCTCCCACCAGGGGATATCTCGATCCCCTCTGTATTCCCTTACAGCTCTGTTGAGCTCTCTGTGATTGCTTCCCTACTACCATTCCCCAGCCCCAGAGCGGGAGGAGAGCCCTTAGTGTGTGTGAGCCATAACCGTCCACCGTGGGTTCTAAAATATGTCAGCACCATGTGGCCTTCCTGGGGCCAGAACTTCTCCTTCTATCACAAGCCTCTGAGGCAGTGAGTTTCCCTTCCTCGGAGATCAATCAGGGGAAATGGCATTGCAGAAACCTCCTCCAGTCCTGGGGCTTCAGTAGAGGACAGAGATTCTAAGCTGACCCTCAAAGATGGCAGAAGAGTTTAGCTAAATGCTTACCCATTGGAAACAACTCCTCCTCATCCTTCAGACCAGCTCTGTTGTCACTTCCTCCCAAAAGCCTTCCTAGATCTCCCTGACTAGTCAAATCCCTTTATTCTCACTCTCATCATTATGACCCCAACAGCTGAGCACAGGGCCTGGACAGAGCAGACACTCAATAAATAACTGCTGAGTGAGTGAAGGAATGAATGAAACAGATTGGACTTTTCTACTTAATAACTGTGACCTTGGGCATGTTCCCTCTGAGCCTCAAAGTCCTGGTTTCTGAGGAAAGAGGGATAATGATAGTTGTTCCCTCCCAGGATTGTTATGAGAATTAAATAAGAGGATGCGTGTAAAGCATTTACTATAAGGTCTGGGCTGATACATGGGACCTGTTACTAAGATTATTTAAAGAGGGGTCCTAATTCCCAGTAACCTCTCTTCTTGGGAAGGGTCAACCACCACAAAACTGAGAAAAGTGAGGAAAACAGCTATGTACTGAGACCCCAGCCACTGTCCTAAGTGTATAGGGTCCTGTGAGGTAGACAGCCACTATGTGTCCAGTACGTCCTAGGGGTCCTTTCCCTCCAGTGTCCCCGAACAATCCTGAGAAGTCAATACCTTTCTCCTTACAAATGAGGAAACAGAAAGACAGATGAAAAAGACTCCCACCACTAGCAGGACTCATGACAGAAGAAAGGAGTGCTATATAAGGATAAGGAGGGATCTGTGTGGCAGCGGTCCTGAGGCCAGGGGCATACAGACAGAGAAACAGGACGAGACAGGGATACAGCTAAGAATAAGGCAGGTGTGAGCCCCATCGCCGGGGCTTTGCCCTGTGGCAGGGGGGACAGACACTAATCAAATCAAATAATCACACAGACCCCCAACTGCACAGCAGTGCTGCAACTGAGAAGACACTTAGTTCTTCTAAGCGTCTAAGTTCCTGGGGCTATGAGAGCGTGTGACAGGGCTCATTTTCTTGGGGTTGGTGATCAAGGGAAGCTTCCTGGAATAAGAAGCATTGAAATAAGATGGGAAGGATGAGTAGGAGTCAGATTCGGTGAAAAGAGAGAGTTTCAGATAGAAGGAACAGTATGTGCAAACGTCCTGAGGCCAAGTTGGAACCGAGAGAATCCATTGTGACTGGAGCCCCTGAGGGAGAGAGAGGGCAGGAGAGAAGGGTGAAAAGGAAGAAGCCAGAAATTATGGGGACATGTGGGGGAGCAGCCAGTAGGGGGCAGAGTTCTCTGGTGACGGCAGCCTTGCTCTTCCAGGGCCTAGCCAGAGTCAGAGCTAGGCTGCAAGGGGAGAAAGGGCTGGGAAACGCAGCCCCCACCAGGTTCTGTTTGTTTTAAGTATGTTTTGTTTATTATTTGAATGGATAGGACACACATCACACAATTCCCAGGATGCAGAAGAGTATTCAATGAAAAGTCAGCCTTTCTCCTTACTCTTGATTGCCAGCAGCTGGTTTCCCTACTTAGCAATAACCACCATACGGATTTATTGTGTGTCCATCCACAGACAGTCCATGCACATAAGAACACACACCACATTTGTTTTTTACACTAACCTAGCCCTGGTTTTGATGCCTCTCCAGGAGGTCTCCAGTTATGAAAGAAGCTAATTTGCACTGAACAATTACTCCACGTGATTCTTTCATTCAGCTCAGTTATGGAGCCCCAGACCTTGTGCCAGACCAGTGGTTCTCAAACCTTAAATCCCCTGGAGGGCTTGTTAAAACGCAGATTGCTGGGTCCCACCCTGAGAGTTTCTGTTTCCTTAGGTCTGGGTTGTGGACTGAGAATTTGCATTTCTAACAAGTTCCCAGGCTTTGCTGAGGCTGCTGGTCCCTCAGGGCGGCACACTTTGAGACCACACTTTGCGACCTGTGAGCCAGCTGCTGATGGACAAAGTATGTGCGCTGGTGGCTGTATTTCTCTCCCACAAGGGAAGGCATGAACGACGGGGGAACACACACACCCATTCGAAAGACAGTTTCATAGAGTGATAAATTCTTTGAAGAAAATGAGGGGAGGGTGAGCACATGAAGGAAAGTGCTTGAGAGTAGGGATGGGGTAGGAGTGGAGGGTAGCGACATTTGGGGCACGAATAAGCATTCCTTTTTGAGCAGTTGAAGTTTTCAAGGCCAGATTAATAGACACACATGTGGAGCTGTCGTGCACTCAAGGGCCGGGTGACCTACAGAGACAGTGTGGAGAGGGAAGAGAAGAGGGTCCACCCCCCCCCCCCGGGGGGGTGCACAGAGGTGTGCAGAAGGAGCTCGGGGTGAGATACAGGGAAAATCCGAAAGACATCAAGAGAGGAGAGGGTTTGAGAAGGAGGCATGATCAAGAGCTGGGAGGGTAGAGAGGTGCCGCCTTGGGTTCGGTTACAGGAGCTCCCCGCGGACCCCAACAAAGCATTTCCATGGTGAGACGGAAGACCCCTGGAGTGAGGGGATGGGCAGGGAAACTGAGGAGGGGAGACCAGAGTAGGCTCCTTGGGAAAGTTTTGCTGCGTAGGAAGCAGAGCAATAAGGCGCTCCCTCCTGAGGAGGGGAGAAGGGAGGGTGTTTAAAAGGTAGGCGCTGCAGGAGTTTAGTTGGGGGTTGAGGAGGGATCTTGGAGGCAGGAATCAATGGAATACGCGGGAGAGAGGGCTCTGAGCCGTGCGAAGGGTGGAGCCGGCGCTGTCGGTGTGTTTGGAGAGCTCGAATGTTCTCCTGCCCTACAAACATCACTCATCTGAACTTTACGACCGCTCCAAAAGGAAAGCGCTATTTGCCCCAGTTTACAGACGAGGAAACTGAGGCTCAAAGTGGTGAAGAGACACGCCGAGGTCCCACATCTCACAGAACGGGACCTCGGTCCTCTTACCGCCCCCGCTGCTCCGGCGGGCTCCGAACAAGACCCTTTTTTGTGTCCTTGCTGGGATGCCCTTTGGAGAGCCGCCGGATGGCTCTACTCTGAGGCCCCGCGGAGAGCGGGCCGGGCGGGGCGGGGCGGGGTGCCCCCTCCACCCTCGCTCCGCCCCCAGCGGCGCGGGAGGGGGCGCGGGGCGGGGAGCGGCGGGGGGCGCGCCGCGCGGGCGGAGCGGGCGGCGGCACCTCGCTAGCAGTGCGGCCCTTGCCTCCCAGCGTCCGCGCCAGCTGTCCGTGCCCGCCGTGCCCGTCCCGCCATGGCCGCGGCCGCCCTCCCACCCCGGCCCCGGCCCCGGCCCCGGCCCCTGGCCCTGCTCCTGCTGCCGCTGCTGCTGCTGCGCGCCGGCACGGTGCGCGCCGACAGTAAGGTACGTACCGCCCTCCCGCCCGGGCGCAGCTCGGCGGGGAGCCGGGCACGAGGGGGCGCTGTGGCTGGGGGTGCGGGCCAGGAGGGTGTCAGGGGCCGAGAGCCGAGAACCAGGAGAGGGGACCTCGGATCTTCGGCTTAGCACCGAAGCCGCTGGGGCAGGACCCCGGGAGAGGAGCGCGTGGGGCAAGAAGCGCTGGAGATGGTAGGGCTGCTTGGGACCCAGAGCCTCAGGAAGGGGCGCTGGGACCCAATCCAGTGTGGGGAGATCAGCTCTGAAACCTAGAGCCAGGGGGCGCTGGGAGCTTGGGGGTGGTGGGTGCAGACAGGAGATGCAGTCCCCAGCCTAGAAAAGGGATTCCCAGGCGCGCTGGGCAGGAGCAGCTTGGAGATCTGGCTCCAAGTTTCCATGGGAGGCTGACCCACGTGGGGGCAGGCCCCTGGGTAACTGCTGCCCAGCGACTCCCAGGTTTTCAGTAGGCCCTGGGCCAAGGCTTTCAGGCCGTGCTGGGGACCCCCAGGCTGGCCACTTGCCTGGCCTCTGGTGCTCCTGCCAGGGATATGGTGCACCTTCTAGAGGACCCTGTGTCTCCAGAAGTGACCTGAGCTATTCTCAGTGGTGGCTCAAAGGATCTGCTCCCCGTGTCAAGCAGACCTGGGTTCAAATCCCATGTTCGCCTCTCAGCTGGATGACCCTGGGCCTTTACTTCTCTGAGCCTCCACTTCCTCCCTGGTAAATATGGGGTAATAATCGTTCCCACTCCCTGCAGTCAGGATCTCTAGATTAGTGAGATCATGCCTGTAAAATGCTGAGCACCTTGCCTGGCACCTAGGAGGTGCCCAATAAATGATACTGCAATTATGAAGTCTTACCACAGGGATCTGCAAAAGGGGGTGAGATCCAGAATGGAGAGAGAGCAAGCACTTAGCGTTAGTCAGAGCAGGGACCCCTTGAGGGTGTTCTGGAAATGACCCAGTGAGGAGGAGGATGGGTCTGGGGGTGAGGGAGGGGCAGGAAGGAGGTAGGGCCCTGCTCACATAGTATGAGAGCCAAGGAGTGACTTCTCTTGGTGTCTCTACAGCCTCTTTCCCAAGTAGAAGGTGAGGCTCCCCTGTCCACAGGCAGGTAACAGGCAGAAGCCACTAGCCACATGGTAAGTATATGAGCAGGGGGCACTGGCACACGCTCAGCCTGAAGATTCAGCTCAGGCTATGAAAATAAGTGGGCTGCAGTCCTGACCATGTCCTCCTGTCCTCTGAAGACCCTGAGGGAATGAGAAGCATTCCCATTTTACAGATGGGGAAACTAGGATGTATAGAGAGGCAGCTGGCTTGCAAATCAAAAAACCTAGGTTCTGGCCTTTTGTTGTTCTTCGTCTGTGTGACCTTGGGCCAGTCACTGCCTGTCTCTGGGCTTAAATTCCCCCATCTGAAAAACAATATCTCCCTAACTTCCCTTCCATATACAGCCTTCTAGGATTCCTTGACCTGGCTCAGTTGGGGAACAGGTAAGCGAAAACCCCAGATAACCTGATCTCCGCTTTGCCACCTCTCATCTCTCTGGCTGGGAGCAATGTTTGTTCTTGGGCATCCTCTGAGCCATGCAGAGGGCTATAGGGCTGGTGGGGGAGGGCTCGCATTCAAAACAAAGCAAAGACAAAGAGAACCCAACACCCTGTTTATGTAGTGAGTCAGCCAAACACTTGCTAGGTTGGGGGTGTGTGTGTGTGTTTAGTTGTTCCAGGGCAAGCCGGGGCTGGTGGGGTGACAAGGAGCATCCTAGAGTTTGGAGAATGAAGCAGCTGGGGGAGTCAGCACAGCCCTCCCCCAGACACCTCCCACCCCACACCATTTCAGTCAGCTGGGAAAAATAAAAATCAAGTGATGGGTGAATTTACTCCGCATTCCTCAGCACAGCCGGACTCCTGCTGGCTCAGTGGAGAGAGCTGTTTTCATTATCACCCTCTCCCTCCCCCATAACAGTCCTTCCTTTCCAAGCCTGGCCTATTTTCTAGCGGGGGAGGCCTTAGGAGGACCGGCCTGGGACCTAAAGTCTATCTAGGGCCCTAAAGTGTTCCATGGGCTTCCTGCTCCTGGGAGGTCCAGCCTCCCTCCTGCACGATCTTTTCAGGGGTCCAGGGGTGGCTCAGCCCCAGGACTCACCACAGAATTCTGCGATCTCAGCCAGCTCCTCGCTCAGCGTGTGTTAGTGTTTATAGCAGGTCTCTCCGAAACAGGATTTGGAGTTTCCATCTAAGGAAGTGCTTTGTCCAGCTTGCGAGCGGGAGAAGGAGATCACAGCTCCCCTGGCATTTCCGAGGGGCTGCCCGATGTGGAGGTTGGGATGGACAGCCAGGTAATCACATGGCACCAGGGACTTCTGGGAACCTGCTTTTGGCTGTGTGTCCTTGGAATGTGGCTGAGAATTCCCCACCTCTACCTCAGTTTCCCCATCTGGGAAAGGGCTGCTGGCGACTCACATCCTCCATGCATCCAGGGGTGAGAAGCGGGTCTTTGGTCCTGAGGACAGAGGGAAGGCCCAGCCTGTGGGAGCTGGGCCAGGGGAGCAGGAGGGGCTGGAGCAAGCAGGCGGTGGTGTCCCGGGCGGGATCGGATGTTCCAGGCCAGGCGGGTCCCCAGGGCTTAGGTGTTGCTGCTCCTCCGCTTGGGGAGTTTCCGCCTGTGGTGTAATTGGAAACAGGCTCAGGAGCAGGCAGGAGCTACACAGCGATGGAGTCTTCCTCCTGTGCACAGAGTCTGGGCCAGGCTAGGCCACCAAAGGTCCTGCCCCATTTGGATGGGGCACCTGGGATAAAGCCCTGAGGAGCGCCCAGTGTGCCAAGGCCTGTGCCCAGCACTTGCATTTGGGGTCTTACACTACCCTGCTGCCTACACTCTGAGACTTCAGGGTCCCTCCCCATTGGACAGACTTGAATACAGAGGGTCAAAAGAGTCAGGTTGGGGCCGCTCACATATCCTAGAGAGGGAGCTTGAGGAGTTGGGAGCAACCTGGAGTTCCAGCATCCTCAGCCTTTAGCGAGCATCTGGAGGCCCGGGAGCCTGAGAGAGCCAGAGTCGAGGGGTGTGGAGGAAGGCCAGGGCATCTGCATTTTCCAAGTGCACCCAGGTAATTCTGAGGCACATCCTTCAGTGGAGAACTCATGGAGGTGATAGGGAGCCATAGAGGTTTGTGGTGCAAGAGAGTAACAGATCATCAAAGAGGAGCTTTTGGAAGATTAATCCAGCAGAGAGGAGGCCGCTGTATTGTCCACGTAGCAGTTAACGCGGCCTGAGCTCAGGCTGTGGCCATGGAGTAGAGAGCGAGGGATAGACATGGGAGATATTTAGGGTGAAGAACCAGAAGAACACGACTGATGGGTTGTCCAGAGTAATAAGGAGGCTCAGAGATCCGGGTTGGGCAGGAGGGTGAGCAGACACCAGTTTGGGAGAAGATGCTGGGTCCAGTTTGGGATGTCTGTGGGCGTCTAGGGGACGGTGTCCAGCCGGTAGTGGGCTCCAGGGGTGGTCTTTGCCTGCAGTAGGACGGGAAAACTGCCTCTCCGTGAGTCTGGGCTGGCCATGAGAGGAGAGGGAAGACTCGAGCTCAAAGGGACATAACTTGAACATGTCCTATTTCTAGAACATTTCACAGCTTGAACCCCTCTCTTCCCCTTTCTGGCCAGATTTATCCATGCCTCTTCAGAAAAATCTCAAGTACCCCGTCTCACATCGCACTGTGGGATTTCTTTGCAAACACTTAGGGACCTTTTTAAGCACAAACCACCCCCACTTCTGGGGGCTTTGGCAGCAGCTTGTGCTGAGCAAGGCGGCAGGGAGAGATGGGGGCCGAGGGAGGGACTTTCCTGCTTGGCAGCAACTCCAGCACTCATGCCAAGGGCAGGTTGGGGCAGGCCCAGCGGGAGCCCCAGGTCACGTGGCCCAACCCAGCGCCCCCTCTCTGTCCCAGCTCAGCTGCTTGTGGAGAATCCCTTGCCTGGTGACTACGGGCGGTTTTGGGAGGTACAGCATGTAAACCAAATTTTGGAGTCAGGCTGTGCTGTGTGACCTGGGCAAACCGCTAGTCTTCTCTGATGCTCAGATTTTTCCTCTCTAGATGGGGTTGTAGTGAGAGCAAATAGAGGTTGAAAACGATGTACAAATGTGAGAGAGGGTTGTTGGCAGCGACTTTAAAAGTGAGAACCACTTAGTAGTTATTCTGTGCCAGGCTCGGCGCCAGGTGCTTTGCACTTATTGAGACATTTCAGCCTCAGGAATCGCCTATGAGGAAAGGACTGTTATCCTCCCCATTCTACAGAGGAGGAAACTGAGGCTCAGAGGGGTCAAGGGCCTACAGGGAGGAGATGTGAGCTGAGATTTGAGCCTGGGCTGGCGCCCCACCATGGCGCTCTGCTGCCTCCGGTCAAGCTCCAAGGGACCAAGTGATCACCGGATGCAGGGCCCAGTCTGGGCTCCTGGCAGCAGGGGCTGGGAGCAGAGGCCCTCTTCCGACCCCTGGCCGTGTCAGGGCCTTGGCCGCCCCCATCAGGACATAGCACCTCATCTGAGGAGGGAAGGAATGGTGCGGTCTGATGCGGAGGCCGCTGCTGGGGGGCGGGGGTTGGGATTATGGGTGGGGGCTGAGGAGGAGGCCTCTCTGGCATGGCCACATGGAACACACCCACATCCACCCACTGGGCTCCTAGCCCCCTGGGCAAGTCGGGGGACGGTGGCTGGGGGGCCCAGCAGAGCACGGAAGCGGGCCCAGAGTCTAGGAGAAAAGGTAGGCTTAAGGCACTAGCGGCCATTTAAGGAGTTTGCAGGACCCTGAGCTCGGCTGTCAGCCTTCACTGCAGGAGAGAATCACCCCGGAGGACCCTTCGCCCACAGGGCCCGGGACAAAGCTTCCCCCCATAGCTGCCCCATCCCCACCCTCCTCGTCCCCCAGGGGACTGCAAGTCCACCCACCCTGGGCCCTAGTCCCCTTGAACAAGTCATTCGATGGCTCCAGGCTCAGCCTCCTCATCTGTGGGACACCGCTAGGAATATCTAACAGTGCACTCACGTGGAGAAACAGCCCCCTTTTAGGACGATTGGTAGTAATAATAACAGCCACAATATACAGACTACTGTGTGTGCTCCTGGTGCTGGACTGAGCTACTCCTGTTGTTCCATCTCTCAGTCCTCACATGGTCTTTTGTTAGGTAGGCACTCGTAGTACCTTCATTTTACAGAAGAGGAAACTGAGGCACAGAGAGGTTAAGTAATCTACCCAAGCACACACAGCTCTAGGTGGCTCAGGGCCGTGTTCCTAACCACTGCCCTATACTTCCCCAGCCCTCAGTGAGTTCTCAATAAATGTCTCCTCCCTGGGCTCTGCGCCCCAGGCTGGCCTCCTGCAGCCACCATCCGTCCACGTGAGCTTCCCACAGTGCAGATCTGATCCTGGCCCTCCCCTGCTTAAAACCCTTCCTGAACTCTCCCGTGTTTTCAGGAGGAAGCCAAGATCCTCAGCCAGTTTTCAGGGCCCTCCCTGGGCTGGGCCTGTCCCCCCCTCCCCACCCCCCGCCCCCCAGCCTTACGTGCTGCCCCCCAGGCTCCCTGCAAACACCAGCCAGAGTGACCCTCCTCCGGGCCCCCAAAGTGCAGGCCCTTCCTTGTCTTTCCACGTCTGAGTTGCTCTCCCTGGAATGCCCTTCTCCTCCTTAAAGATGCCCCCAGGGGCGCCCTCCTCCGAGCAGTCTTCATGGGTGTCTTTGTGCCCTCAGAGCTTGCTATGTGAGCTTCTCTCATGGCTGAAAAGGTGGAGAATGTATCGATCTATTTCTTCTGTCCCTCCAGCTAACACCCCGGGTCTGGCAGAGGCCAGGGGCTCAAACAGGTGTCTGATGGCTCAGAGCTGAAATGGAGTGCCCACAGCCCTTCCCCAGAGGGCCCGGGGACACACACAGGCTCTGGGCATGGCAGAAAGCCCAAGGGAGCCATGGACTCACTTGGGTCCTGGTGGCTTCAGTGAGAGCTGAGTAGCCATGAGGCCTGAGGTGTTTGTTGATTGAGCCATGAATAGCTGTGTCCTAAGAGCCTGGAGCCCAGGGTGGGCTGGCTGAGCCAACTAGGGGAGTGGCTGGTTGGGGGTCCCAGAGCCCAGCCAGTGTGTCAGGGCACGCGGGCTGGGGGCAGTGACTGAGCCTGGCACCTGCCACTGATCTCACTGAGCTGACTCCTGTGGGCACAAAGTCCTGCTGCCTCCAGTGACCAGTGACCACACTTGGACACTGGGTGTGTGGTATCCCAGGGAGGGACTGAAGGAAAAGTGGGGAGGGGAGGGAAACCACTAAATAGAGGTCATGTTATCCTCACCATGAGGAGGCCAGGTCAGGAGAGTCATCCATTGTACGAGGGTACAAGGCTCAGAGAGGTTATGTAACCTGTTTAAAGTCACACAGGGTGTGGGGGAACAGGTCTGTAGGAGAAGCAGCATAGAGCAGTGATTTCAATCTGGAGTCAGGTCCAAAGCTGGATCTTCCACACTGAAGCTGTGTGATCTTGGACATGTGACTTCACCTCTGTGAGCCTCTCTTTCTTTATCACACTTAAGACGCACTATGTGCTGGGCCCTATTCTTTAACTCATTACATCCTCACAACCACCCCAAAAGGCACGAGCCCATATTACAAATGAGGAAACAGAGGCACAGAAAGGCTGAGTTGCCCAATCTCATGGCTCCTAACCTAGGCTCCGGACGCCATGCTCCTAGCCCTGTGCTCCAGCATGGCCGCAAAATGTAGGCTCATTTATCCGTCACCTACCACAGGCCAGGCAGGCACTGCTGTGGGGATACAGGAGGGACCTGGACAAAGGACCTGCCTCTCATGCTGCCTCCAGGAGAGTCAGGGAGACAAAAAAGAAGCAGATGTGGCTATAATACTTCAGATGGTAATAGGTGCAAAAAAGACAAACAAACCACTAGCTAAGGGGATAGAGAGTGACGGGAGGTGGGCGGTCAGGGAAGGCTTCTTGGAGGAAGTGATGTGTGAGCAAGGTGAGGGAATGAGCCAAGGGAATATCAGGGGGATAAGGGTTTCAGGGCACCACATCTGCAACGGTCCTGAGGCTAGAGTGGAGTGAGCCCAAGGGAGGAAAAGGTGGCAAGAAGAGGGGTTGAGGGGAGGGTGTTAGCTCACACAGGCCTTGAAGGCCATGGTAAGGACTTTGGAGGTAACAATACCCCCCATACGCAGGTATTATTAAAGGGTGAGGCGTGCATGAAACCTGGGATGTACTCAATGCTCAGTGAAATGTCTCCATTCATTTTTTTACTATTATGGTGAAACACATAACATAAAATTTACCATTTTAACCATTTTAAAGTATACAGTTCAGTGGCATTTAGTACATTCACAATGTTGTGGAACCATCACTGCTACTTGGTTCCAGAATGTTTGCATCAGTCCAAAAGGAAGCCCTGCGACCATTAAGCCATCACTCCCCATTTCCCCATCCCTCTAAATCCCGGCAGCCACTAATCTGCTTTCTGTGTCTATGGATTTGCCTATTCTGGACATTCATATAAAGGGAATCATACAATATGTGGCCTTTTGTGACCAGCTTCTTTCATTTAGCATAACGTTTTCAAGGTTCATCTACATTGTAACCTGTGTCAGTACTCCGTTCCTTTTAATGGCTGACTAATATTCCACTGTGTGGACGTACCACAGTTTGTTCATCTATTCATCAGCTGAAGGACATTTCAGTTGTTTCCACCTTGTGGCTATTGTGAATCGTGCTGCTGTGAACATTCATGTACAAGTCTTTTTTTTGAATACCTGTTCTCAGTTTTTTGGGGTATATACCTAAGAGTAGAATTATCGGGTCCTATGGTAATTCTGTGTTTAATTTATTGAGGAACAGCCAAACTGTTTTTCGCAGCAGCCATTAATATTTTAATTGTTATTGTTATTATTATAAGCCCTCTATTTCCTTGTAAGGGCTGCTAGCTTCTCAGCCACCTCTAACCGCCACCCTCCAAGGGCTGGGGGGCTGGATTCTGCTCCTGGAATCTGCCTGCTCGCCTCCTCTCCCCTCCCCCCAGCACTGGCTCACCGGAGCCGCTCTTGCAGGTGTTCGGCGACATGGACCAGGTGCGGATGACCTCGGAGGGCTCGGACTGCCGCTGCAAGTGTATCATGCGGCCGCTGAGCAAGGACGCGTGCAGCCGCGTGCGCAGCGGCCGGGCGCGGGTGGAGGACTTCTACACCGTGGAGACGGTGAGCTCGGGCACCGACTGCCGCTGCTCCTGCACCGCGCCGCCCTCCTCGCTCAACCCCTGCGAGAACGAGTGGAAGATGGAGAAACTCAAGAAGCAGGCACCCGAGCTCCTCAAGGTAGACATCCTGGGGTGAGATGTGGAGGGGAACACCCCCTGGGTGGGTATCTCCCATGGGCTGGGCCAGGCTGTCCTTCCCGTGAAAAGTCCGCACAGGCCAAGGCGGGCGCTGGTATCCTCCCATTTCACAGGTGAGGAAACAGGCTCCCTGGGGGGAAGCCACTTCTTGCCCAAGATCGTTCTGCCAGTGAGTGATAGAGGCAGCATTCTCTGGCTAGTTTACCTGAATAGAGCCCCTTTTCTATTCCAGTGTCCTGCATTGTACCCAAACCAGTTTCTCTCTCGGCACCTCTATACAGTATTTTAAATTTTGTGGCTTTGATTGTTTTTAATGTAATAATAACATTTACGGGGTCTAGCCCGGTGGCGCAGCAGTTAAGTGCGCATGTTCCACTTCTTTGGCCGGGTTTGCTAGTTCGGATCCTGGGTGTGGGACGTGGCACCACTCACCAAGCCATGCTGTGGTAGGCATCCCACATATAACGTAGAGGAAGATGGGCACGGATGCTAGCTCAGGGCCAGTCTTCCTCAATAAAGAAAGAAAGAAAAAATAATATTTCCGATATTCAAGTACCTCCTGCATGCCAGATGTCGTGCTAACCTCTTTTTACATATTAGTTCTCTAAATTCTTAAACAATTCTGTGAAATATGGGATCTTGGTCCTCATTTTATAGGCAAGAAAATGGATTTGGGAGAAGTTAGGGAACTGGCGCAGGCTCTCACACATTGATATGTAGCCTCAAGTCTGCACCATACTTTTATGTGACTTTTGTGCCTACCCTCCCCCATAGGCAGATTAGAAAGAGCCCCACCTCTGGGGGACACAGCCCCATGCCACGGCCCACCGCTGGGACCCGTGGCTCCGATAGACGTGTGCAGGCTAGAGCTCAGCCCCACAGCCAGCCGGGCCCTTCTGTGAGATTTATCCTGTGCTCGGCTCAGTGCTGGGTGGGCCTACTGGCACTGGGATTTGAGCCCAGGTCCTGCTGTGTCCAAAAAGTGTGTTCTGAACCACCTTGCCCTCCTGTCTTCCTTTTTGTAAAGGACTAGATTATTTGGTGTTTGGAGAGAGTCTTCCTTTACGATTTCTTCCAAACTGAGTGTCTCTTTTGCCCTTCTGGTGTCAAGAACTGTGCAGTCGACTGAGATGTTACCCTGCTTGTGAGCTAACAGGTTAGCCTGCCAGTTTCATGGACACTGGCGGAAGACGCAAGAAGCCAGAGACAAACAACTCTAGTACACACGGCAGCCGGAGTAGCTGCTCTTCCTTGCGCTGATTCTCCCAGCTCCAGTTCCCACAGGGTGATGCCGTGGGGCCAGATGACACCTGCACACACACTGGGGTATTCTTCAAGAGAGGAGCCCCAACTCAGAGGATCCAAATCTTATAGTGGACACCAAGCATGCCTGCTCTTTATAATGGACACCGAGGATGCCCACTCTTTATAAGGATGGGCACTGAGCATGCCTGCTCTTTATGATGGGCACCGAGCATGCTCACTCTTTATAAGGATGGGCACTGAGCATGCCTGCTCTTTATGATGGGCACCGAGCATGCTCACTCTTTATAATAATGGGCACTGAGCATGCCCGCTCTTTATGATGGGCACCAAGTGTGCCCGCTCTTTGTGATGGGCACCGAGCATGCCTTCCCTGCTCCAGAGGGAAATGCCATCTCTATTGTCCGAGGCTGTTCACCATACAAGATGGCCTGGACAGTCAGTACCTCTAAATGCAAGACATGCAGAAAAGCCAAAGACTCATGATGAATTCTCTCCCAACGTTTAGCTAAAAATTTTTCTTTAACTTGAGTAAAATTTTTGTAACAAGTGACTGGATACCAAAACTCTCAAAGTTGAGGTGGGTTGAATTTTAGACCAAGTGGCCTCTTGACAACTTGGCAGTCCCTGGACCACACTGTCTCCCTGGGACCTCACTCGGGCCCTGCAGACTCCAGGTACTGAGGCCGTAGGCCAGTCCTCAGTTACAGGGACAAACCAACTTCTGCTGCAGTCCACTTCTCAACAATTCGATTGTAAGCAAAATTGACGAGGATACACAAAACCTTTTCATAAATGCTGGCTAATTTAATCCTTGCCACAACCCTTTGGAGAGGGAACTTATGGTCCTAGCTTTACTTGTGGGGGAATCTGAGGCCCAGAGGGGGATTGTGACTTGCCTAAGATCACACAGCAAGACTTTGGCACCACTAAGATGTGAACCCAGGAATTCTCTCCTGTGTCCCTTTTCCCATTGAAGGGCTTACCGGGCAGTTCTCTAAGCCAGCAGCCCATTGTCCCATAGGCCTTTTTGGTGCACAGCAGCCATGAGGGTTTTCATTCGGCTTATAGGACTGGAGTGGAGTGGTGGTGGGATTGACCCAGCTGGTGGGGTTGGAGGAGGAAGAGAAGATGCTCAGTCTTAGTGACACCCTAGGAGCAGCAGCAGGTACTGAGGGGGTACCCAGAAAGTCCCAAGAGGAGGGGGCAGCAGAGGTAGTATGAGACAGAGCTGAGACCTCTCCCATGCAGCTCGGCTCCCCTCCCTCAGCAGGAGGCTCTCTGAGGTCAGCCCCCCAGGAGAGGAGGTTAGGGGAAGCCAATGGGGGAGGAGCACAGGGCACACCCACCCTATTCCCACCTCTTGTCTCTATCCCAGCCCTTCCCTTCAAGCTCAGAACTCCAGCTGTGATCTGGCCTTAGCTGCTTGTCTCTGCGTAGGAGGGAGGGGAGTCCAGGTCCCCTTTCTTAGGTAGGTTGGCTACCGGGGTGTGCCTCCCACCTCTTTGCTCCTTTTCCTTCTGCACATGAACCAGACATGGCCACACCCTTGAGGAATCCCTAGTCTTGTGGGGACACAGCTCCTGACCCCCAAAATGGCAACATGATCAGTGCTGGGCCAAGGGATGTCCCAGGGACTGTGGGAACCCAGAGGAGGAGATAACATTAGAGCTGGGCTTTGAGGGATGTGTAGGAGTCCCTCAGGCAGAGCAGAAATGAGGGCATTCTGGGTGAGAACAAGTGGAGTGGGTATGGCACAGGGTGCCTCCCTGCCCTCTCTGCTCCAGCCCCACTAGCTGCTTGTCAAGTCCTCTAACATGGTGCTTCTCAAACTGTGGTGAAAGACCAGTTTTTTAAAAATCTTAAGAACCAATACTTTTATAAAATACTATAAAAATGAGTGATTAGAACAATGAAACAAAAACGGACACGCAACATACAAGCCCTATGTTGTATTATTAGAGCCCACAGATATAAAATTGCTCTGTCAAATGGCTCTAAAAGTTCATAAAAGCCTACTCTCGCTTTTTGTGATTATTTTATCACAGACTAGAGACGAGCACTCTGGACCGGCGCTGGTCTGCAGACCACACTTTGAGTAACGTGGCTCGAACACCACGTTTCTTCTCACCAGCTCTTTGAACAAGCTGTTCGCTTTGCCTGGAAGTTCCCTCTCCTGCCCTCTTTGCCTAATTCGTGCTCCTCCTTTAGAGCTCAGCTCAAACAAAACTTCCTCCTGGCAGACTTTCCCAATCCACATGCACTCCCAGACAAGGTCAGGGCCCCATCAGTAATGCTCTGGGCTTCTGTGTGTTACCGCCTGTTCTCTGGTCTGGACGCCTGGGTGTGACTCTGTGTTCCCTGACAGCCTGCGAAAGACGGTTCCGGCTTGCGTCTGTCTTGCTCACCACTGTCCTTAGTGCCTGGCCCCGAGCACATGTTTGCTGAGGCTGCAGGGGGCGGCAGGAGCAGATCATGGAGGGCTTGAATGCCAGACTCGGGAGATGAGAAGCCACACAGGGGAAGCTGGGAGCCATGTCGAGTTATCAAGCAGGGGAGAGACCCAATCAAAGCTTTGCTTCAGGAAGCCAGTTTTGGTGGCCGTAAAGGCAGCAGAGTGAATGAAGCTGGGAGGTTCCCGTTTAGTCCCCTGGAATAGTAGTCGTTATTGCTGATCTTCATGACGCCCTTGCTGTGCTCACTCTGGGCTGAGCCCTGTCCAGACACGACTGCTCCTACCACCACCCTCTTGCCCCATTTCACAGAGAAGGAAGCTGAGGCACCTAAGACTCCATGTGCATGGTTCTCAAAAGGTGCTCCCCAGAGCCCTAGGGGTACTGTGCAGCCCCTCAGGGCCTGAGCACGGTTGTCGGGGAGCAGACAAGACTCGAGGCCCTACCCCTGCTCCCATCAGAGCCCTGCACTCCCTTTTTCTGTTTTAGAGATCAGAGTCTGCTCAGAGAAAAGCTCTCTGGCTTATGAACAGCTTGAACACTCCTGCGAGAGTGGGAGTCAAACTGTTTTGGAAACAGCTGGCCAGGGCCAAATGGGAGCACTGGCCTGCTCAGGCCCTGAGAAATGCCTCAGGGCTCGGAGCTGAGCCACCGGGAGGGTGGGCTGGATCTGCCCTTCCCGAGAAGCCAGGGGATGCTGATTTCCCAATCGGCCCCTTGGGCCAAGCTTCCCGTGATGCTCTCGTTGGCATCTTGGCCATCTGGAGGGCATTGTCACATCCTGATGAGATGTGACAGACGGGGGAAGGGGAGGGGCAGCTGCAGGGAAGAGCCAGGGCTGGGCAAGGGAGACCCAGCATCTGCCACTGACCTTTGTGCAAGCCCTGCCCCCTCTCCCGGCCTCAGTTTCCCCATCTGGACACAAGAAGGAGCAGTAAAGCATAATAGGAAAGAGGTTTGGTTTATACCAGTCTGGGTTCTGCTCCCAGCTCCACCATTTAACAGCTGGGTGGCCTTGGGCGAGTCACTTCACCTGTCTAAACTGCAGCTTCCCAGCCTGGAAGAGGAAGATAACAGTTGTCCAGACCGTGTCTTTGGCTGGGGCCCTAGAAGCAGACCCTGAGGCGGGTGACTCACATGCAGGTGATTTATTATGAAAGTGCTCCCGGGGGAACACTGGTACTGAAGTGGGAGAGGCAGGAAGGGAGGGCAGCCCAGCAGTGGTGTGGTCTCAGGCCCAGTGCCAGCCTCAGCCCCAGGGTACATTGGCATGTGAATGACAGCTCAGTTGTCCCCACTGGGGCGAGAGAGCTGGGCTGATAGATGCCCACCCCAGTCAGGCATTGTTGAAGAGCTGCGCCAGGAGGACGTACACCAGGGACTTTGGGGGGCAAAGCAGCTGTTTGAAGAGAGTGACAGGTGCAGGCTGTTAAAGGGAGGCATGTGGAAGCCAGGACGGGCACGAGAAACAGGAGGAGGGATCACTGGGGGTGGGAATGGAGCTCCTCTGGTGTCCACTACACACCTCGTGGGTCGTTGTGAGGATTAAGTGAAATGGCTTGTGAAAGGCCCTGGCACAGTGCCTGCCCCATGGTAAATGCTCAAAAGACAGAACCTGTTGCTTGTGATTATGAGCAGGCTGGGTCTGGCGGGCACTGAGGGCCCAAGCAGGCCATTCTGAGGCCCTGGGGTCCTGGGGTTCTGCCGTGGTAGGGTTCCTTTTGCACCCTCTGTGTCCAGCCCTGTGCTCTGCCCTTTCACTAACCATCCCCCTTCCCTGGGCAGCTGCAGTCCATGGTGGATCTCCTGGAGGGCACCTTGTATAGCATGGACCTGATGAAAGTGCACGCCTACGTCCACAAGGTGGCCTCCCAGATGAACACGCTGGAAGAGGTAAGGGCAGGGCTTGAGCCAGAGGCGGGGCGAGTGTAGTGCTGGAGGCCAAGGGCAGTGTCCGAAGGGGCCTGGGCAATTCTGTCCTGCCCCTGGTGGCTGTTGAAAGCTGGACTCCAGCAGGAGCTGGGAGAGGGAGATTCAGGCCACAGGGTTTAGACTTTGGGGAAGAGGTCTGACTCGGGCTTAAGGGCCTGCACGAAGCAGGAAGGCTGGGTGGAGAAACTGAGGCACCTGCTGGTTGTATGAAAAGAGTCTGGAGGGGGCTGGAACCCTCAGTTGACCAAGACCAGGACCCACACATTGCACAACTCTGGGGCCACTATTTTCATAAAATACCACATGAGTGGTGCCCCCTGGAGTGGTGCAGGACTGGCCAAGCCCACTGGGGCCAGGCTTGAGGCAGCATGACTGTCCCAGTGCCCCTCTGCAGGGGAGGCAGAGGTGCCGAGCATCTTCTCTTGGTCAAGACAAATGTGCTGGAGGGCTAGGTGGGTGGCTGGGACTGCCACCTGAGGACAGGGACAGCGTTGGGTGAGCGTGGGGGTCCAGGCTGCAGGTTTGAGGTTTGCATCTCTGTTGGCACAGCCTGGCCTCCGCCTGTTTCCTGCATCCGGTCCCTGCAGGGCTGCTGGGAGCCTGTAGACATGCAGCTGCCAGGAGCGGGCGTGGGGGCTTCCTTTCCCAGCTTCCTTTTTAGAGAGAGGGGGCACCTGGGCATCCTGTGCCCTGGGGGGGAGATTAACCCCTTACTATCCCCAAAGTTGGGCTCACAGTGGCTTTAATTATTCAAAAAGCATTTGGTGAGTATCTGCTGTGTGCCAGGCCCATGCCAGCGTGGGAAAAACATAACGGTTGCTGAGTTTCTCCTGTGCCCTGATATTTCCTCTGCGCCTGCTCTCCTGTCGCCAGCTCTGCAGTTGTCCTCCTTTGACCTTTCGTCTTGTCATCTCAGGAAATGTTAACTTGCTTCATGTAACTATGAGCCAGACAATCTGGAGGGTATGTCTGTGGGGCCTGGAACAAATCAGAAACGATTTCCGCAGCAACAAAGAAATGATTTTTTAATTATCTTCTGGTTTGCATTATCTGTGCTTTGCTTCTGTTCACTAAGTGATAACTCTATGAAAAAGAAAAGCTTTTTGCTAACCCTGGGAGAAGGTGAAGAGAGCAGCCTCACTCAGGGGAGCTGTCTCCCTCGGCCTGAGGGAGAAACATCCCAGGGGGTCAGGCAGCAAGTCGGGGTCCCACTCCCCTTGCTCTCCTCCCTTACACGAGTGGGACTCAACCAGGGGCAGTTGGCAATATCTGGAGACGTTTTTGGTTGTCACAGCTTGGGGGAGGAGGTGGTGGATGCTATTGGCTTCTTGTGGGTGGCGGCCAGGGATGCTGCTAAACATCCCACAGTGCACGGAGCAGCCCCCATGACACACAACCATCTGGCAAATGTCAGAGGTTGGAAAACTTGCCTTCCACAGTTTGACTTCTGTCTTCCCTGTGATCTAGTTTAGAATGCACTTTCTCATTTCTTAGTCTTTCTGGTCCCCACAGTAACCATGACATTTAGTTGTGATTATGATAAAGATCCTCATTTTACAGGCAGGGAAACTGAGGCTTAGAGAGGTGAAGTCACTAACTCAAGGTTACCCAGCCAGGAAGTAGAGAGTGAGGATTTGAACCCAGCTCTGTCCAACTCCTGCCTTGCTGCCTCTTGGTCCCTGAATCTGTTTACACCCAGGGCTGACTAGACATAAATCGCTTTTAGGTTATCTTCTCTGTAAAAATTTCTGCCCATGAATTTCTGAACTCAGAATTCCGATACTCCAGGGCTTCCCGGGGATGAGGCTCTTCCTGCTTGTGACTCTGGTCTCTCCTACTTCAGCTGAGAAGTGGACTCGGGCAGAGGAATTCCACACACACCCCACACCTGCTGGGGCTCTGGGGACCTGGGGCTGATACCTGGTTTCCTGAGTCCTGCCCAGCGGCCAAGGCCAGCCTGGCCAACAGCCCAGCATGGGGATCCCTAGGGCAGGGATCCCCAGAGAGGAGCATGGTGGTTCTGAGCTATCCATCTGTTTCCAGCAGATTCCAGAATCCAGGTAGATCAGGGGGTAGCTGGGAGCTGCTAAAGCCAGGCAGGGCCCCCAGCAAGGGGGAGACAGGCGAAGCAGGAGAACAGGACTGGGAGTAACGGCTCAGTGCTGCCAGAGGAGCCAGCACTGCAGGGAGAGAAGTCAGAGACTTGGAGCCTGGGAGGGATCAGAGACTCAGCCATGGCAAAACGCCAGAGAGCTTTGTTGTTTGAGTATTCCACAAGAAGAAGGTATTTGTGTATTACTTGTGAAATTAAAAGGTAATTTTAAAGTAGCAAAAGATAGCAGCTTAAATGATGGATCCATAAGGGACTGGCTGAGTACCTTATGGCCTGTGCCTCCGGTGGCATACTATGTGGTCACTAAAAGGAATGGGGGGCATTGTATATACAGAGATGGAAGAGTTTGCAAAATAGGCTCATGTGAAAAAGCAAAGTGTTAAAAAAAAAAAAGAAAAAGAAACCCTAACAGTTGTCGGCACCGAGGAGCAAAGGTGGGAGGGAGACGTTTTTATACCCATTTGTATCTTTTTAATTTAGTACTTTGAACATATATATTTTTTCATTCATTCACTTTTTAAATAAACATTTAATAGAGTCTCTTAGCAGCATGCTTTATTCCACCGGTGCTCGCTGGTGCCGCCCCCATGCATACCCCTGGGCCCTGCTCAGGAGACCGGGCAGCAAAGCTTGATGGCAGAAGCTGGGGTGTCCCCCTCAGGCCAGGGGTGGGGGGTGGTCAGAGGAGGCCGGAAAGACTTCGGGTCCTGCCCCCACAGAGCATCAAGGCCAACCTGAGCCGGGAGAACGAGGTGGTGAGGGAGAGCATGCGCCACTTCAGTGAGCAGCTGAAGCACTACGAGAACCACTCAGCCATCATGATGAGCATCAAGAAGGAGCTGTCGAGCCTGGGCCTCCAGCTGCTGCAGAAGGATGCAGCCACAGCCCCCGCCGCTGGCCCAGCCACTGGCCCTGGTAGCAAGGCTCAGGTGAGGCCATGGCTCTGATGATGGGGCCAGAAGATGGGCGGGCTTGGGAGCACAGTGTGCTGGGACCTCAGCCCTGAGGGCCAGCTGAGTGGGAATTTGGGGCCATAGGACAAGGCTGAGGGCTGGCACAGTGGGAGAGTCCGTGGCAGGGCAGGGCCAGGGGTGCCTGCTGTGCTGTGAGCTGGGGCAGCCGAGCGGTCTGTTCCCTGAGCCAGGCATTTGACAGTATTCTCATTCCCGTTTCTAAACTAGTGGGGACGAGGTTGCAGAGATGACCTTCCCTGCTTGGCCCTGGGAGACCAAGTCGGGGGCAGTAAAACCACTCTGTCTTCTCTTGCTGGTGCTGGGCCCCTATGGGGCAGGTGGGCAATGCCTTGGGGACCCCTGCAGACTAATACCACTTCATCCAACCCAGCCTGGGGTGGAGAACTCCTACAGCCATCCCCAGTGTTCCACAGTCAAACTCAGAGCGCAGAGGGAGCAGGGGCACTGGGTTTTGTCACCAGGCAGAGCCACCCACGCATATAACACACCTTTGTCCACATTTGATAAGGGCCCTCCTCTAGACAGACAGCTTGCAGAAATTCTCCCTCTGGACAGATAAATCAGAAAGAAGAGCCCCCTTTGGGTGAACAGATTGTACACAGCTCCTTCCTATGATAGGCACACACCAGGGTGTGTGGCTTGGGAAATGGAGTACAGATTAGATTTCACCCTGTTTGTACCCCTTCGACAAGTGCCCCGCGTGCAGCACACAGCCTGCGCTACTCTCCACAGCAGCCTTGTTTTCCGTGAGCAGGGAAAAGGGAGCTGACATTGTGGAACCTCTGCTCTCAACCTGACTTCCTCACAGACATTATATCACTTAATCCCATAACCACCGGAGAGGGATGATCATTGTCCGTGTGGCAGACGAGGAAACGTGACGGGAGGTCACATGGAGGGAGGGTGGCTGCACTGGGACTGGAACCCGGGCCTGTGTGACTGCCAAATCCATGTTCTTCCTCTCCACCTCTGGGCCTCCTGTGCTGACATTGTAATGATGGGGCCATTTGTGTCTGCAACTGGAACCACCTAGATGCTGATAAAGCATGGAGGAAGCCTGGTGCCTGGGCCCGGAGCTGGCTTCCTGCTTGTTCCGTGCCAGTTGCACAGGCGTGAATGAATCCTGTTTTGGCAACGGCACAGAAGGTCTAGATACTGTACTTGCTGTATCTCCTCGAGATTCTGCCTAACAATGGGTGATGTCATATGCCCTGTGTTCTTGTGCCAAGCCAGCATCAGAAGCATTTAAAAGGAAGTAAAAATAACAAAATTCACAAAATGTTAAAAACTGCATGCCCCACGGGTTGGATGATCAGCCATCCCGGTTTGCCCCGGACTGAAGGGTTTCCCAGGATATAGGACTTTCAGTGCTGAAACTGGGAAAGTTCCCCCACCCTGGGATAAGTTGGCCACCCTGCCTAGGGGCCTGAGAACCTCTCCCCTGCCCATACACAAGACCAATGAGTGAGAGAGACAGGCATGGGAAGCTGACCTGGTAATCGGCTCCCTCCCCAGGGAGCTGACCATTATAGTCTGCCCCCAGCTGGGAGTGTGCAGGAGTTGGGAAACAGGACAGGAATCTAACCTATCAGGCTGGGCTTCAAGCCTGCAGAGGAGCTAGAGAGCTGAGTAGGGAAACCGAGGCACACCCCACTCATGGAGGTAGCCACTATGGGAGGAAAGCTGTGACTTCACGAGCATCTGGGCTGTCGGGTCTGGAGCAACATGACCACCTCCAGCCCCCACATGCTGAGCTTCCATGACCCCCTGCAACATCCCCTTTTACCATCCGCCAAGTCTGAGAACTCCCTTCTCTCCCAGGACACAGCTGGAGGGAAAGGCAAAGACACCAACAAATATGGCAGCATGCAGAAGAGCTTTGTAGACAGGGGCCTCCCAAAAGCTCCTAAGGAGAAGCTGCTGAAGGTGGAGAAGCTGAGGAAGGAAGGCAGCAAGAGCAGATTCCCCCAGCCCACAGGCAAGCCCCGGGCCCTGGCCCAGCAGCAGGCTGTGGTCCGAGGCATCACCTACTACAAGGCAGGCAGGAAGGAGGCGACCGAGGCCGTGGCTGGTGAGTTGAAGGGGGATTGGCTCCTTAGGGTGGGGGGGCTTGTTGATGGGTGGCCGCACCCCGAGGGTCCCCTGCAGGGATCTGAGATCTTCTCTACGGTCAGACTGCCCCAGACTTCAGCTCCACTGGTCACCTGTTGCAGCCTTTTGCAAATCCACACAATGGGCTAATACCCCCTCATGGGGTTGCAGGGGATGCAATGACATAACCAGCACAGAAGGCCACTCAGTTCCTTTCCAGTGTTTACAACTGTCTGCATCCTCACTGCACTTCTCCTTCTTCATTCGAAGATTTGCTAAAGGTCCACTGTGCACTTGCTGTATTTCCCAGAGATTCTGCCTAACGTGGAGCTCACAGCAGAGTGGGGAAAAAACATACCCAGGACCAGGCAGCTGCCCCGGGGGCGGAGTCGGGGTGGGGGGGAATGCAGGGGCCGAAGCCAGGCCAGCGTTCTGGGAAGTGACATGGAGCCTTTGAGGCACCTCTGGTTTCCAGACTGGCATTGGAATGGATGGCCTCTCCAGCAACCCCCACTTCTTATCTCCCCACAGAAGAGCCCACAGACTCCTGTATTTCTCCTGCAGCTCCCTGCCAGATCAGAGTGAAGGGCCACAAAGTAATTAACTGAGAAGAAAGAGACAGACGTTCTGAGAGTACCCACATTTCTGAGCCCTCCCCACTGGGTGGCTCCTGATTCCTCCTCTGAGACCCTCCATAGATAGATGCGTGCTCTCCTCCGATGTCCCGGAGAGCTCCCAAGCCCGTTCCCCATTCCTAGGTCCTGCTGACCGCCCCCTCCAGTGAGGCCTCTGCCCAGCCCATGTCCAAGGGGGCTGGGAAGTGGAACTGTGAGGGACCAGTCTGCTTCAAGAGCCCTTAGTTTCTTGCTCTCTCAGGGCTCAGGGGCCTCTTCCCCCAGCTCCTGGTGCCAGCTGCTGGCCCTGATCCCTGCCAGCTTAGCCTGGCTATAGCACAATGCCTCTGACCCCTGGCCAGGGCACTGCCCAAGAACAGCTGTGGGCATCTGACTCTCCAGCGAGGCCCGTGGGAACAAGCCCCTGCCCTGGCAGGCTGCCAAGGCCAGGGTTTTTTGAGGCCCCGTTAACCAGAGGGTCTGCCCCCATCCCACAAGGACCCAGGCTCCAGGGGCTACCCCACAGCAGGGCCTGGCTAAACGCCCGTGCAAGGAGGAAGCCCATCAGGGAGAGAAAGGAAGAAGCCAGATGACTGTCCTCAGTCCAGGGGCCTCAGCGCATCCCCAGGGGCCACACCATCACAATCACAACAGCACTGTGCCTTTGTCCCTGGCATCACCGTTTTCTGAGTACTTTCACACATGCTATCGCAGTTGATCGAGCCGAGGAAATGAGCTCAGGGAGCTGAAGGGACTGGCTCCAGATTTTGGAGCCAGTTGTGGCAGAGCAGGAGTGGAAACCAGGTGGGAGGGCTGCAGAGCCCGCCTCGGGTCCCTGCATGGCTCTGTCCCTGGAGCTGAGGAGTCTTTGTCCCCTGGCTGTGTGGCATTTGGTCTTCCTGCTTCCCCTACCCAGACCCCACCCAGACCCCATCCACCCCAGCCCAGAGATGTAGGATAACCCAGAGATGGCCACCAAACAACGTCCCACGGGAGCTGAAAAAGTTGTCCCGTCAGCAAAGCCCCCACCAGCAGGGACGAGGCAGGGGAGCAAGAAGCCTGAGAGAGGTTAGATGAGAGGGGACAGAGAGACAGACAGACCTGGGTCCAGAGGTGATGGGCAGCTGGCTGCACCTGCCCCTCCTGGCCTGAGGTGGCAGATCCTGGGTGAGAGAAACTAGAGCGTGAGCTGCAGCGGGGAGGACCAAGAGAAAGTCTGTAAAATGGGAGCAAGGGGTTGTGCCTCCTGGAATAGAATCCAGGAAGTGGAAGAATTGGTACAAAGTATTTGACACTTAGGAGGAAAAGGGGCCTCATTTTTGGCACCTCGTGTTTGTCGGGATCTGGGCAAATGTTTTGTATACATTTTCCTCTGATAACACAACCGGCTGATGCGGTGGGCCTTATGACTCTCAGTTCACAGAGGGGAAACTGAGGCCACTCAGCTGGGGAGCTTGGAGCCCGTCTTCTGACCATGAAGCCCTCCCTCCCTCCCACTTTTCGAGGCCTTTCACTCCCCAGGGCCCCCTTTCTTTCCCCCATGGCCCCAGAGTCAGGAGCCTGGGAGGGCCTGGGGAGGCCCCGGGCAGCAGAAGGTACCACTAGGATGTGAGCCCAGGTCTTCTCTCCGCAGACAATGCCCTCAAGGGCACTTCCTGGCTGGAGCAGCTGCCGCCCAGGGTGGAGGGCAGGCCATCTGAGCCCAACTCGGCAGAGCACGATGAGGCCAGGCCCAGGACCTCAGAGGGAGTGGACTTGGCCCCTGGCACCCCTGCTTCAGACCCCACCCCCACCCCGACTCCCACCACCACCACCAGCCCCATGTCCACCGAGCCACCTTCACGCCCAGAAGTCCCCAGCCAAGGTGAGTAAGCCACACTGGAGTCAGCAAACTGCAGCCCGCGGGTCAGACCCAACCTGTTTTTGTACAGCCCTGGAGCTAAGAATGGTTTTTACATTTTTAAAGGGTTGTAAATATATATATATACACTCACACACGGGACAGAAGTATGTGATCTGGAAAACCTAAAATATTTACTATCTGATCCTTTACAGAAAAAGTTTGATGACATTTACAGTGAAACAGGTAGTATTTTCAACAAATTCTTCTTAAAGCATCACCTAGAATCCCACCGTCAAATCTAGTAGCTATTTTCACTTCTTTCTTTCCTCTGTCCGACCTCTGGCCCTGTTTTTATGTCTGTGTTTGTAGTTTTGGCTTGCGTCTTTCAGTAGCTATCTTCCTCATTAAGTCATCGAGCCCAACCTTCCGGAAGGATCTTGGCTACCTGTGATAGCAAGCTTTGCAACCATTCCCTGCTTTGATCCGCATGCATTCCACTTCTAGGAATCTTTCCTAAAGGATCCATCAGCGAGTGGAGAACAGCTGCAGCTTAACTGGTTTCTTCACAGCCTATTTCTAATGTCAGAACCCTGGAAATAACCTAAAGGTCTAAAACCAAAGGGAACTGGTCAAATACATTCCAGGGCACAGCTGTCTGGTGGCGTGGCAGAACCTTGAAATCACATCATTAAAAGGCCACTTAATCATGTGAGAAATTGCTCAGTGGAGGGAGAAAACAGGATCCATATTCAGAAGAAGAAGAATCATGTTTTTAAAAAAGTATGTCTGCATGACTGTACATGCAAAGAAAAGGAAGGAAATACAGCATGTTTCAAAATTCTTTGGAAAATGGAATTTTGAATGATTTTTGTTTTTTCCATGCTCCTTTTATGAATGTTGTGTGTTTTCTATGATGGTCAGACATTGCTTTGATTATGAGGAAAGAAAAAAACAAGGCTGCAAACAACATCAGGAAGGAGTTAAGTCAGACCCAGAGAATGTTCCCAGGGTTATTGCTCTGGCTTGGGGCCTGTGAGTCTGCATACCAAATGCTGCTCCCCTCCCTCCCCACAGGCAGAGAGGCGAGCTGCGAGGGCACCCTCCGGGCCGTGGACCCCCCTGTGAGGCACCACAGCTACGGACGCCACGAGGGAGCCTGGATGAAGGACCCCGCTGCAAGGGATGACAGGATCTATGTCACCAACTACTACTACGGAAACAGCCTGGTAGAATTCCGCAACCTGGAAAACTTCAAGCAAGGTTGGGGACCCCGGAGATGGGAAGGGGGCAGGGTGGGGGCAGCCTGGGGAGGGTCCTCCGGGGAGACATGGCTCTCCTTTGCCTTGTGGTTTCCTGTGGTCCAGACTTCCCCAGTCAGTCTTGGCTCCGAATGGTTAGCCACCCCAAGGAGGGGATGCTGAGGGCACCCCCATGTGCGGGCCAGGACCTTGCCAGGAGCTGGAATACAGCAGCAAACAAGGATGGCCCTCATGAGTGTCTCTCCCTGTCAAGCCTTAGTTTCCACTCGTTGAGTCTTACTCTGTACTAATCGCCCGTGTGCGTCAGCTCATGGTATCTCACAACTCTCCAAGGTGGGGGTTATCACCCTGTTTTACAAGTGAGCAGGGCCCCAGGCTGCTCCTTCGAGGAGCTGCAGGTCTGGGCAAGGGCCAGGACGGGGCTTAGCACAGGGAAGGGCAGAATTTTGGTTATCAGACCTGGGGCATGATGGGGGAAGGGGTTGTTTAGACCTAACGTGCCCTCCAGAAACTCAGTCTCATGTGGGAGGCAAAGGCTTAGAGAAACTATCTCGGTATAGCATGAGAGGGAGAGCTCCAGGGGCTGTGGGAACTGAGCCTGGAGGTCAGGGAAGACTTCCCAGGGGAGGTGAGGCTGAGCTGTGCCCTGCAGGAAGAGCAGGAGTAAGCCTTGCGGAAGGGAAAGGGCAAAGTGTTCCAGACAGAAGGCCCAGCATGTGCGAAGGTCGGGCAATGAGAGGTACCATGGTGGCCTAGAAGGGAGGGGAGGGGAGTGTAATGAGAGAGTAGGCTGAGGCAGATGAAAGAGTGTGGACTCACCCTGAGAGCTGTGGCGTCCCATGGGATGGCCTGGAACAGCTAGAGTCTTTCCACTGCCAGGTCAACATTGACCTGGTCCCTGTCTGGAGTGGCTCACGGGCTGGTGCAGAGGAACCCAATGAAAAGTGCCAAGACAAAGGGTTACCAAAGGAGACCAGAGGAATGGCCCCTCACTCAAGCCGGGGGAGGTCAGGGAAGGCTTCCTGGAGGAGGGAACATTGGCCAAGGGTTCTGAAAGATAAGGAGGCATTCCCCAGGCAGATAGGATGGGGAATGGCAGTCCAGATAGAAGGAACAGCATAGGCAAAGGCCCTGAGACAAAGAACAGGAGCTGGCATCAGCCTGTGGCTAAATCTTGACTGTGCCATTTTCATAACTGGGTGACCTTCAACCCTCTGAGCCTGTTTCTCCCTCAGCAAATGGGATGATAAGGTACCTCCTTCCTGATGTGACATGATGGGCACAGCTCCAGGCCCATGGGACACTTAGTATCCATTGCTTGCTGGGCCACTGGAGAGCCCGGGACCGCCTCACTGGTCCCTGGGGCGGGCTGGGGTTTGACAGGAGGCTCCGGTGTGACCCTCCGTCCTCCGCCCGCAGGCCGCTGGAGTAACATGTACAAGCTGCCCTACAACTGGATCGGCACGGGCCACGTGGTGTACCAAGGTGCCTTCTACTACAACCGCGCCTTCACCAAGAACATCATCAAGTACGACCTGCGCCAGCGCTTCGTGGCGTCCTGGGCGCTGCTGCCCGATGTGGTATACGAGGATACCACGCCCTGGAAGTGGCGCGGCCACTCGGACATCGACTTCGCCGTGGACGAGAGCGGCCTGTGGGTCATCTACCCTGCCGTGGACGACCGCGACGAGGCCCAGCCCGAGGTGATTGTGCTGAGCCGCCTGGACCCCGGCGACCTGTCCGTGCACCGCGAGACCACATGGAAGACGCGGCTGCGCCGGAACTCCTATGGGAACTGCTTCCTGGTGTGCGGCATCCTGTACGCCGTGGACACCTACAACCAGCGGGAAGGCCAGGTGGCCTACGCCTTCGACACCCACACGGGCACCGACGCCCGCCCGCAGCTGCCCTTCCTCAACGAGCACGCCTACACCACCCAGATTGACTACAACCCCAAGGAGCGCGTGCTGTACGCCTGGGACAATGGCCACCAGCTCACCTACACCCTCCACTTCGTGGTCTGAGCGGGACCTGTGCTCAAGGAGAGGAGTGGCAGTGGGCACGGGGGCTCCTCACAGCTCCTGGAAGGGACTCCGTCAGCAGATATTTATTGGGGGCCAGGCCCAGAGCTGGGTGCTAGGCATGTGCCCGCCAGGATCGAGCTTTCTTAGCACCCGGGGGAATAATTGCTTCCACTTGCAGAGCACTGTGCCAAGAGCTTCACGTGCACTAACCACTTAATCCTCCCGACACCACCCTTGGAGGTAGAGATAGTTAAGCCCATTTAACAGACGAGGAGACTGAGGCTCAGAGAGACGATATCCCTTGCCCAAATAGTCTTTTTGGATCAGGCAGGCCACGCTGTCCCACAGCCCCATTTTACACATGAGAAAACTGGTCCATGCTCTCCCCTCTCCCCTTGATTCTCTTGTTCTTTCAACTCTGTCTCCCTTCCCGGGGCTACTCAAAACTCGAAGCCTTCAGGACCAGTGCACGCCCAGCTCTGCACACCACTCCAGGCCCCTGTTCTGGCTGAGCTGTCGGTGGCCCTGGACTTTGGGCCCCTTGATTAATGTCCCTGCTCCTTGCCTTTGGCCAGCACCCCCCCGCCCCACCCCACCTGCTGTCAGACCACATTCCAAACCTCCACGGTCACCCAGCCACTGAGCAGAAACCACACCCTGAGAAAAAATACCGGCCCCTGTTCCAAGGCCCCCTCCCTCTGTGCTCATTTGTATTTTTTCTTGTTCTTCATCAGTGCTGTCATCTGTTTCTGCAGCAGCAGCTGAGAGGGCTGTGGGCAGCTGCCTGCCAGCAGCAGCTCTGCCAGGGTGGGGAGCTGGGCCAGGCCCTGAGGCTCCCTCTCCACCCAGGAGTGCTGGCTTTGGCCACATACCCAGGCTGTGGGACCTCTCCCCAGTCCCCCCCTTCCAGAGCCTTTGGGCCTGGGGTCCACCTTGTCCTTTCTCTCTGGGCCTTTAAACCCACAGCCTCTACACACTCAGGGATACTTTCAGATCTGCTATGAGCAAGACCCTAGGCCCAAGGCCACGGTGCCTCCAGGAGGAAACAGGTTCCCTCTTCCTTGTCAGTCATGGCCTGGTTGTTTGGTGGGATGGCCCAGCAGCCTGGGGGGCTGGGGATGGCTGAGATCTGAGCAGTCAGGTCCAAGAGAAGCACTGGACCTTCTGGTTGCAGAGAAGAGCCGGAGGGTGGAAGCTGGGAGGGAAGGAGTGGACTGGGCTTTTCCTGGCTTTGGCGATATTGGTCCAGGGCTGCCCCGAGTCCAGGACTTGGGGCTGAGGATGCACAAGTGGACCAGCTCACCTGTTGCTGCTGATGGCTCCCCAGAGCCTCAGCCCCGGGCAGCATGGAGGACAAGACCTTCAAGCCTGCCCTTATCTGCTTTGAATGGTATTTTTAGAGCTGGAAAGTTCTCCAGTCCAACCCCCTATATCACCAAAGGAGAAATAGGCCCAGAGAGGTTGAGAGGGTGGCTCGGGGCCACACTGGGAAGAGGACACAGCTGGTCTCCTTCCAGAAGGGCTTCCTCTGTATCCTTTATTCTCCCAGCTTAGAGGCAGCTCTGCCTACGAAGGCAATAGCTACCCAGCACCCAAGCCATCCCAGCACCTTTGAAGGGTGTTTACTGCTGACCCCTACAACCCTGGCCGTCGCTCCCCTCGTCCTGCCCCCTTGCCCGCTCCAGGGATTTCTGTGTATTTGAACACCAAGCTGCACACCCGAGATGGTGAGGAAATGCGTTTTGTGCAGAATCCATTCTTTCAGTCATTGTCAGGTGATGTTTTCTTTAAGCTGTAACTCATCCCTGAAACAGAGGGGAATGATGACACCCACCCAAGGCAGGCCTGACTCATCGCGGCGGACACGTCCAGCCTCCCCCGCCCAGCCAACGGCCGCGGGCTCCACTCGCAGCCTCTTCAGGGGGCTCGAGGCCCCGCGTTTCCCTAGGCCTTGGGTGTGGGTCTTACAAGACTGTCTTTCGTGACATCACGGCCCAACCATGTGAGGAGCATTCAGGCCCCTCTTTCTCCCCGAGTTTGAGAAAAGGGAAAGTTCGTATGGGCTGACTTTGAAAAAGGACGAACAAAATTGGTTTTCGGGGGTGGGGGGGAATGATGCTGCCTGCAGTCCCCAAACATTTGCTAAGCCCTTTCTGTTTTCAGGCCCTTGTATGTGGGTTATGCGGTAGGTCTGGTATTTTCCTCATTTTACAGAGAGTCAAAGTAGGACCCAGAGAAGTTAAGTCACCTGTCACGTAGGAAGTTAAGCTTAGGTTAAGCCGTGTTTCAGAATCAGGTAGCGTTACCGTTGCTGTGGGTCGAGCACCGAGAGGGGCTAAGCGTGCCACGTGCGTATCCGTGCATCTTCCCAACGGTGGCAGGTATCTACTCTGTGCCCATTTTACAGATGAGGACACTGAGGTAAAGGGTCTTACCCAAGGTCACAGCAGCTTTGTCTGTGGCAGCGTCGGGGTGTCAGGGCCGCTCAGGACGTATTCTTTGCCAGCTGTGTGCTGCTCCTGTGGCCCCAGAAACGGTGGCTGTTGCTTTTTATCCAGTGTGGCCAGGCCACAGACTGCATCTATGTAGGAGACCCACAAAGGAAGTGGGGTCAGCTTGGAAAGACCTTGACTGCAAGGCCGAGGGGTGACCGCCTCCAGTCACATTTGGAACAAAGTCGTGTTTAAATTAACAGAAAAAAGAAAATTCTTAGATAATTGGATTTCGTCCTGTCAGTGGAAGGGTTTTTGTTTTGGGGGAGCTGAAGCCAGCCCACAGCTGCAAACCTGGGAGCCCCAAAGGAGACCTGACCCCCATCAGCTCGTTTTTACCTACTGTGGGCTTTATCATGTTGGCAACAGGTCCTTCCAACCAGGGTGGGCCTGGACCGGGAGGGCCGCGTGTCCTACCAACCCCAGCTGACAAGGCACAGGCAGCTGTCCGTGGTGTTTCTGAACAATGTGACACATGGAGAGGCTTCAGCTGCCACCTCAATTCCTCCCTAGAGATTTCCAGGTCTTCCATTTAATCTGCTCTGTCTGTGGCATCTGCTTTGGGGTCAGCCCTAAAGGTGAGGCTGGGGATTTCCTGGGAATGATCTGAGGACTCCTGAAAGCCCACATGTCCCAAAGCATCTTTTCCTCTGTGACGGCATTGGAAACCACTCTGGTGACGGGAGGACACAGCCCCGGATGGCTGTCCAGGAGCCCTGGGTAGGAGTTAGGGAGCCCTGGGTAGGAGTTAAGGAGTCCGGGTTTGGAATTTGGCTCCCCCTCTCACATACTGCGTGCTTGGGCAGGGTAGGGACTGACAGAAGGGACAGATGTCAACTCCCTCTTGTGGCTGGGGACCTGCAGCTTAGGACAAACAGCAGCTGAGGGCCTAAGCAGCACCCTCCTAGAGCTAGAAGGCACCTTTGCATACATTATCACTAATCCACCCAGGAACCCCCAAGGTCAGCATTATTTTTCCCGATTACAGGCAATGAACCTCAAGTTCTGAGAGGTTAAGCAACCTGCTCAGGGTCACGCATCTAACAAGTAGTAGAGTCAAGATTTGAACCAGATCTGTTTTTATACCAAAGCCTTAAACTAACTGTTATTAGGAATCTTGTAACCAGTCATGTTTTCTTCTTTGCTTTGGCTGCCGGGAAGCTCAATGTCAAATTTGAGATAATTTTTAACAATTGTACTGAGTCTCCTACTGGACTCTGGCTTCGTTCTAGCTTTCTGCTTTTACTTTTACCCTGATCTCTTTATTTTTATTCTACTGTATTTTATCTATTTTTGTAAGTTGCCACAATACCTTTTTTTGCAGTGAGGTAACATATACCTAAATAAATACATGATCAAAAGCTTGATTTGAAAGTCTTGACTAAATGCTCTGGTCTGCATCCTTATCATAACAAGGCATTTAATAACTTTAAAAAAAATACTCAGTTTGTTATGAAAATTGGCCTTGTCATTCTGCTGTTGCTGGAAACTGACGTGAATAACGAACTAGGGCAGAAGAATCCATCTCAGGCTGAAAACCAGGCCCCTCCTGGTGGAGAGGAGAAGCCAGTCATTCCGGACGGTGTTCAGGCCCTGTCCCCACCTCCTTGTGTCGGCTGCAGAGAGAGAATCGCTGCTTACACTCGCTCCTGGATCAGAGAATGGGGCTGAGGGAGAGGCAAGAACAAAAAGAAACACACACCTGGGAAAGAGAGAGTACCATGAATCAGGGAGGGGTCCCTGAGCGTCACTCGGTCCCTGTTTCCCAAACTCAAGTCATTCCCATAAGAGTCTTCTTCACGATTTTGGCCACCTCCCTTTGCCATCGTCACCAGGGTTTACTATTTCTCTTTCAGATGATCTCATTCTTTTTACTAAAATAGTTTTATTTCAAAGGGAAGCTTTATAAGCTGTTAGCAAAGACAAAAACAAATTTTTTTAAAGGCAGAATATTACAGTAGTCAAAAGAAAGCCAGTGACCACAAATATAAGGTGACCCTGAAAACGAGCAACACTGTTGCTCTCCAGCCGGAACCGTGCCTGTGATCCCGGCCCAACCGCTCTTGGTGTAAAAAGGAAGACTAGCAAGTGTTCAGGGGACCTAAAGGGTGAACCAGCAGCAAGTGGACGTTGCTTTGATGTAATCAGAGGAATGGGATTGGAAGGGAATAGCTTCTGCCGTGTGACTCGATGGCCTTTCATCTGGTGGCTTAGGTACCTCCAAGGAGCTCTCAAACCACTGGTGGGCCTAAAACCATTTAGGTTTAGACAAGCGTCCCCAAACACACACACACATATGCGCGCGCGCGCTCATTCAGCCAGGCCTTCCCTCCCCAGCCTCCCCCAGCTGCAGGCCAGCCTTCGCAGAGCCCCTGCCCCTCCTGGAAGCTGGGCACTGTCCCTGAGGCCCATGGCAATGACAAGGGTCCCATTCCCCCACAGGACAGACCAGCCAGAAGCACAGCGCCACTCCTGCCAGGACAGAGGCTGATGGGGCCGTGTCCCTCTCACCATGCAGACCCCACTGGGCTGACCCTAGTCCCAAGCAGGCCGAACATGGCTGGGCTTTGGGAAATCTGGACCATGGCCTCTTTGCTCAGGCTCTTCACCAGCCCCAGTCCCACCTGTTCGCCACTGCCCCATCATCCCTGGCCTCTGCGTCAGCTGTTCCCTCTGCCTGGTACACAGGTACCTGCACCTGTGCACGGCTGCCTCCCTCTGGTCCTTCAGGTCTCAGCTGAAATGTCACCTCCCCAGGGAAGCTGTCCCTCAAGGGTCTGTCTCCCCTCACTGGGATCTGCGCTCCATGAAAGCAGAGCTTGTCCCCCACCATGTCGTCAGCACCCAGGAGACCCCCAACAAATGTCTGCGAACAACCGAGAGATCTGTGTCAGACCCTTAGGCAAGTCCGTACACAGTCTGCTGAGCAAGCCAGCTTTGGCTCCGAGGTCGTGGCTGCTGAGTGCGCCACACTTCTTTCATTTCCTCATGCAGCATATTTGTTGAGGCCATCGTAAGTCAGATTTCACGCAGAAATTTCCAGAATGCAATCTCGGATCATTAAGATTGGAGAGCAGATGGGATATTTCCAGCAACTCTCTCCGTCCTGCAGTTCTATGAAAATGAGAAAACTTGTCTTCAGGCAAAAATACCTGCCTGAACGCTACCCCAGGTCTGCAACCAGGGACCGAGCGGCAAAGAAAGCTGCGGCATTTCTCCTGACTGTGGCGATAATGCTTACACGCTAGACAGGACAGACATGCAGTTGGTACCCCAACTCGGTGCTGAAGGCAGCTCAGTGGCCAGCAGAGGCCAGAGGCTGAGAGTTCAGTGGACTCGGGGGCTGGACTGACTTATCTCTGACTCTTACTGGCTGGTTTACAGCATCACCAGCCAGAGGGAGCAGTGGCAAGGCCCGTGCGACTTCGTAAGCCCTGAGCAAGATGCCCAGCACACGGTGGCAGTCAGGAAGTGGTGGCTACTGCTGCCCTTGTGCTCAGTTAATGCCCTGCTCAGACAATCGGCCAGCAATGCTGGCAGGTGTGTGTTGTACACTGTGGGCATCCAACGTGATTGACCCCTGTGTGCTGGCCTCAGGGGCACTGAGCTGAGTGAGTATCATTCGTACGCTTGAGAGCTTGCTGGAAAGTGGGAAGCCAGATACGACCACACGGTGTTCTTGGCTCCAAGAGCCCAAAGGGGCGCCCTGTACCTGGCTAAGGAGTATGGGCCACAGGAGTCACCCGAGCCACAGAGGGGCCGATACCTCCCAAACTGCCCCCACGTCAGAGCAAAGAGGCTCCTCTGGTCACCTCTATGACATGATCCTTGACAGGGACCTCTCTCTGCCCTTTGGACTTTCTCCCTGGGACTTCAAGCCCCAAAACTCTCCCCTTGGCTGGGGTGGGAAAGGAAGAAATAATAATTACTACCCATAGGCACTACAATATCCCAGTGTGTGCTCTGTGCCAGGGGTGGTGCTGAGTCTTTATGGCATTAGCTCATTGAATCTTCCCAGTAACCCCATGAAATAGGCATTGTCGCTGCCCACATTTCACAAATGGGGAAACTGAGGCACAGACTGCTCTGTCATGTGTTCAAGGTCATAGAGCCGAGCTGGCGGTGGCTGAGTGCAGGGCACTCTCTCAAAACACCGCACTGGTGGTTCTCAAACCCAGCTCCCGACAGAACCACTGGGGAGTTTTAAAAGGTGTCCACGTCCAGGCGTCACCCTAGACTGATAGACGACCGACTCTGGGGGCAAGGACTGAGAGTTGGTGTGGTTTAAGTTTCCCAGGAGAATGTGCTATGCCTGCTGGGTTGAGGTGCTCGGAAGGAGCACCCCAGGCATGATGGGGCATCTCTCAGATGCCAGGCTGCACCCAGGAAACATCCTCCGCCCTGGCTGTCCCAGAACAAGAAGCAGAGAGAACAGGCCTTAGCTGGCGTGTCGGCCATTTCTCCCCAATGGGGCGCTGCGGGTGGGGGTGGGGTTCCCAGGGCACAGAGCACAAAGGCTCCCTCGGCCCCCCAGTGGTGCCCAGACGCTACCCCGCCCACCGGCCCAGTCTGAACTCTGCCCACATCTGGGCTCAGCCCTCGACCCCCCCACATTCCAACAGGGATCCCATGAGACAGGAACAGACAGGGCATTCAGGATGCTCGCCTGCCAGGGGGGATGAATTATTACCGAGAATTATCTGCCACGAGCACGGGGTGGCATTTCACGCGCCAAAGGTTGGCTGGCCCCGCCCTGGCCCTGGTGGCTTGGCTCCGGGGCCCTCATTCCAACTGTGCAAGGACAGAAACTTTATTCTCTTCCACAGCAAGAGGCCCCACCCCTCACCATCTGTGCAGCACCCCCTCAGCCATCCGCCCACCCCCCAGGGGCCAGAGCCTTCCTTCTCCACGGCTCAGCACGGAGCGGATTAGATAAGGTGCTTCCAAAGTCAAGTTTCCCAGGTCTTTTTAAGCCGGGGATTTTATTGACAGGGAGAGTCACTGTTACCAAGATGTCGGCCTCAACCTGTTCTGGCGTTTCTGCGTGGGGCTCTGACAGATGCAAACAGCTGCTGCAGCTGGGATAAGCTTCCTGTGGAGGGATCCAGGGCTTTCGGAGCCAGACAGCCCTCAGTTTGAATCCCGGTTCTGCCGCCTACCACCTGTGAACTCGGGCACTCGACGTGGAGTCTCTAATCTCAGTTTCCTCCTCTATAAAACAGGGATGACATTCCGCGACCTTCCAGGAATGTTGTGAGGTTGAACTGAGATAATGGACGTCAATAAGGTCTAAGCGGGAACATGGAGGACATGGAGCAGGATGAGGCAGGACGCTCGATAACCGACCTCAAAGGCTGACTTAGGGCCTTGCCCTCCATCCCACCCCCAGAGCCTCAGGGTGGGGCTGATCCAAAGTGAATTGTCAGCAAACGCAAGCGTATCCTCAAAACTGATGACTGTCCTGGCCTTATATAACAAAGAGCAGGGAGGGCAAATGTGTCTCATCCAGTGTGCCTACTCAATTGATTGGTAGTGGCTGTCTAGGACACTGAGCGATTAGCAATGTCTTCCTTGGGAACAAGAAGTCAGAGTGGTGGAATGTATGCTACCTTTTGCCATTTCTGTTAGAAAGCAAGGTCTAAATAATACTCCTTCCTCTAGTTTTTGCTGGATTTGTGTGACAGGCTCCACACTGATCTGCTGCTTGTCTCTTCCCCCCTCTGATCCTCATCTTCAGCTGCTAGAGGGAATTTTCTAAAATGGAAGTCTGACCATCTCACCCTGTCACCCATCACTGGCCCATGGCTTCTCCCATTGGTCTGAGGATCAAACCACGCTCCCAGGGGTGACATTCAAGGCCTCCACTCACCATCCCTGTCTCCCCAACGGCCACTCACTTCCAAGTATCCCAACCTCAAGCCCTACAGCCCTGAGGACCTTCATGGGCTGCAATGTGAGGATTCAAGGCAGCTCAGAAAGTCCAGCTTAAAACCCTGTGCCCAGACTCACAAGATCAGATCCAGATCAGAGGGGCGGCCCAGAGACCTCACGGCATCAGCCGCGGGTGAGTTTAACAAACTGAAGGGAACCGGGAAACTTCCAGCCAGCTGAAGTGTGCTTGAGCAAAGCTGTCATCCCGCTCCCTGCTAACCACACTGATGGGATTGGTCTGAGTTGCCCTGTGGAGGAGAATTTTACCCTCTCTCTCCTGAGCACCCATTCCAAGACAATCCCCTCGCCAGCAAGACACGGGTGGAGGCTTCCAGGCGCTGTGTGTCCAAAGCTTTCTTGTCCAGAGTCCAGACAGGCAAGATGTCCCTGCGCGCCCAGAGGCCAGGGGAGTGCCTCCATTCCCGCTCAGTCCCAG